TTTATTTCTATTAACGACATGAAAGTAATTAATTAACACATATTTAGAGAACATTATTGTATATATTTCTTACCAAATGTGAAGCGAATGAAACGCACAAAGAAATATTACAGTCAATTAGATTAGTGTAACCCAAACAAGGAACCAATTATGCAAGTACCTTTATGTACATCCTAATTTTAAGGGAATTAATCAAACTGGCTGCAATAAACTTGTTGCAAAACAATGCCCTCTATGAAACTGGTGGAACATGCAAGAGCTCTTTAAACATTTGGGTTAACTAACTAGTGATAGCAGGAACGCTTATCTTCTAAGTCGTTAATATTACATCTCTTGAGGTGTAATAATAACACTTTTTAGTACGACATTTTTCATCTTAAGTGTTTTGCAAAGGTGAAATGCTGTTTTGCGAATTAAAGGTGTTAAAATTACACCCTTAAAGTTGTTATTATTATACTAGGGTTAAAACGCATTCTAAGGCTTTAGGCTAACATCCGTTGTAAATAACTAGAAATATGCATGGAGGGTATAAACTGTGACATTCCCTCTTTATTGAACAAACTGCATGCAATGATATCGCTAATATAACTGTTTATCTTTTTACTTAAATACTATTAGTGACTAAATAAAAAATATACCTTATATATATCCAGAGAAACAAAAAGAATACTTCACGTGATTAATGCAATTGAATCAGACCGGTTTCATGACTTTTAAGTCATTCTTCAGCATTATTTAAAGCTTCAAAACATTTCCTGTTAAAAACTTATGAAAAAGTTATATATACACACACACGTAGATATAAATAAATAAATATATATATACAGTTGAGTACTTTAAAAATTATTAGTTTTATACCAATGTTTGATGATCACTGGTCTTTCAATACAAACGAGCGACAATACTGTGATTATGATTATCTCCGTTGATTTTAATATTTACTCTAAATGTCACTTTATTTGCCAACATCTTTATCTCTGTTTGTAATATTTTAAACCTTCAAATTCTAGTATGCAAGTATTTTAATAATAGTAAAAATAGCTCACAAAAAAGCGTACATTATCGTTGATTATAAATAGATATATGCTTATAAAAATGTGTTGTCATATTTATACAATATTCCTTGTGTTCTTTGTAGTACTGTATTTATAATATTTTCCAAGTTAAACAAAGCGATTATAATAGGACATTCTTTGTAATAATGTTTATTAAATAAGTACGTTTTAGGTAGATATTTAAATAACATTCTCTATTGTGTTGTGGTCATATAAATCAGTTATTAGATGTCATAGTGGCAGTGTTCTAAGAAGTCTGTTTGGTCTAGATTAATGATCATATAATCCAAATTATCAGCTGTCACAGCGACACTCTTGAGTACATAACTAAGAAGACTGTTTGGTCTAGACTAGAATAATGGTTATATAATCCAAATTATCAGCTGTCACAGCGACACTCTTGAGTACATAACTAAGAAGACTGTTTGGTCTAGACTAGAATAATGGTTATATAATCCAAGTTATCAGCTGTCACAGCGACACTCTTGAGTACATAACTAAGAA